TCAAAGCGAGGAGAAGCAAAGATGGGTGCTCTAATAAAGAGGAGTCCAGCTGCTGGGACAAGTCCTGACAGAATATGAATGTGCATTATAGTAAGAGTAGCTGTTTTTTATGCACACTGCAGAGACACTTACATGCACAATGCATATACCGCCGTAGGTCAATACATAGTCAGTGTTGGTGGCCATGTGATGCCTGCCCACAGTGTCAATATGAAGTCTGAGTTATTACAAACAAACATCAGGAGAAGACTTGAGGCAATATTTACAGTTAATTAGTCAGTTTACATTTCCTGCTAGATACCCGTCTAGTTGTGATGTAGTATTAATTTATCTATGTAGATTATAGTTGTCAAAAGTGTCCGGGAGGCTGGGAGGTTTTGCTGCTCCTAAAAAGACTCGCAGGGTAGCAGTTCCCTGATCTCTGGGCAAAGCTAAAAACAACTCAGTCCTCCCAGCAAAGTCACACACAAACACACACAAGGGCTCAAACCTCTTGTGCAATTTCAGAATGTTTTTCATTACTGGGCTCCTAGATCCGAACTGAGCTTATCCTCACTGATCCTGAAAAATGCAGTCAAGGCAGAGAAAAAAGGTCCTTTTACGGAGAAGAGAGGAGAGGAACTGTGTAGGGAGTCATGGAAGTGGATCGAGTAAATAAACATGCTGGTGATCAGCCTGGCTGCAGTTATTGCTGAGAACAGCATCTTCTGCCACTGGTGAGTGGTGACTCAGTTGGAGGGTAATCTGCTCCAAACTACAGAAGAAGCAGAGTTGCACAACAGTGTGATCGGATGCTGCAGTAGAAAACTATCTAAAAACACTTACCGATTTAGTCCGACACACATCAAGTTGTCTCTCCTGTATATCTATGTCATGTTTTATGCTATCATGAAGATGTGGAGCTAATAACTGACTGGTTTTCAGTTCCCTAATGGCATTTAAATGTACCAAACACTGCATAAATGTTGACTTAAATGTCTTAAATGTCTTCAAGTTGACCTTGCACCTCAGTCTTAAGGGGGATAACAGTATGTCATCACCCGAATGCTGCGAGTCGTTGCATTTTTCCCAGCATGATGCCCCTCAGACATGCTAAACATAGACAAGCTACACCACACAGGCCTCCTCTGCATGCTGACATCTGAATGAACACATACTAAACTGAGGATGATGTCTCACTGTTGGTGTGTAGCACCCTCAGGTAAAATACAGTTGGTTACTCAGCAAGGTGTACTCCATCATTTACCATCCTACCTTCAGAAAGCCGCATCTATCTCTTATGAACAGTGTGAGGCTGCACTGCCTGTGGTTTCAAGGAGAAAATCCTTTCCACGGCCCCTAATGGGCCCAGATAAATACCCACAGAAAAACTGATAGCAGCCTTGGCTTTTTGAAACATACAATGCAGCAAATAACACAGCCTGCAGCCGCTGAGTCAGCTCAAACTGCATAGAAAATAAAGCTTATTTTCTGCCCTCAGAACTTCAGAAGATGGAAGAAAACAAACATATATCTGTCTGTGCAGAGAACCTGGAGAGAAGTGAGGAAGGTTTTATTTCCCAACAGAGCTAGGAAAGCAATAATCACACACTGATAGGATTTTGCACAACAGCATGTAACAATTTGGGGCGAAACACAAACTTGTTATTTTATTATCATTATTTAATCTAATCACACAATGTTTAAAATTGAAAATGATTTATTGGTTAATCATTTTAATACATTTTCTAAAAAGCTTATCTGGGGCTTATCTCAGGAGCACACACTGGGCAAAGAGCAGGGTAAACACTGTGCAGGTCACGTGACACTCAAACCCATTAACTACAGGCAATTTAGAGTTTCCACTCTACCTAACTTGCTTGTTTTTGGATTGTGGAGGGAGGCGTGGAGAAAATTAACAAAGACACAAGGCAAACAGAGAAAGGCTCCAGGATGCTAGATTAGCTTTTGAATGGAGGCTGCTCTTACTGCAGTGAACATTTATCCTCAATTACACTATACCAGAATTGGTCCAATTACTGTAGCAGGCCCCACTTCAATTCCAGCTCCATGGGGCATGTTTAAGATGAGTTTGACAGCTTCATGCTCCTGCCCCTGATTATGAAATAATAATAGCCCGCACAGTGGGCACAGTAACTCTCTTAATTGAAAACAGCAGGCTTTATTTCCCCTCTGAGGGAAGCCAGAGCATTATGACACTGCAGTCATGTAAGTGCAAAACTGAGCCAGGGCCTCCTGTGGCACATGTAAACTTTTACAGCTGCAAAGTCACCACAACAAAAGAAAAATACAGCCTACAGTAGAATGTTTTACATGTCTCTCCTCTCTACATGTGTCTCCATATCTGTATTTACCCTCATCCCCCTCACTCATCCTCCCAGCAGCTATCGCTTAGAAAATGAAAAACCCTGGACAAGCACAAGGACAAACGCTGTGGTGTCTGTTTAGAAAAGCTACATTAGCACACAAACCCCACTTCCAGATAAAAAAAACCCAGCTGCACCTAAGACGCGACTGAACTGCGTCATCATCTACGTAAAAAAAATATGACATTAATGACCCGGAGAAGGATGAACACCCTATATAAGCCTTGAGCATTGGCCACCTGCATACAAACTGTTACTGGCAGACATAGCCACAGAAAGAGAAATAGAGAGACTTGCAGAGTGAATAAGGAGCAAGCACATAGATGGTAAGTTACACCGAAGGCAACCACCCTTCGTGCCTCCGTCAGCAAATCTGACAGGCCTTGCCTTAAGCAGAGTATAGAAAAAAACATACAGGGGGGAGGACTGATGGATGGTGACAAATGAGTGGCTGAGCCAAGGGAATCACTCAGGGAGAACGAGGAGAGGAGATGGGAGGAGAGGAGAGGAGAGGAGAGGAGAGGAGAGGAGAGGAGAGGAGAGGAGAGGAGAGGAGAGGAAAAAAAGGAGAGGAAAGGTTAAAGGTAAACGAATTACGAGTGTGGGGAAAAGATAAGTGACATTAATGCTGCCATGCTGGACAGGAGACTATAGGGACAAATGATGCAGCTTAAGGATGAGAAGCTTTGAATTGGACCGAATGCTCAGACAGATATTTAACAGCCAGCAGTGACACCCACACAAAGCATTGTTTTCACACATTCAGAGCAGACAAGCAAACAGTGAAGCCTGCACTTACACCGGACACAAACCGAGCTCTCAGGTTGACATGTTTCATCACTTGAACATCGAACATCTACCATCTCTGGGGCCCAATGAGAATCAAGCAAAACCTCTTCAGGGGACATTTCCATTAATTTCTGGTGACCAGTGCCATGTTGTTATTGTACACTGTCGTAGAAATGAGCACAGTCCCTGGGTTTATCATACATTAGCTGAAAAGCCTTTAATGGCCTTTAAGACCATTCACTAACAGATGTTGTATGGGAGTCACAGTGTGATGCACACCTACCCCTCCCTGCTGCAGGGCTTATCAAACAAACTAGCTTAACCTACAAAAGCTTTGCATTAGAGGAGCAGAGACTGACAGCTATACTGTGTATATTAGTAATACAAAGAAAAAAATCGACCCAACCCACAGCATTTGTCATTTCAGCTCCAGTTAATGGTATCGATGTTAGTGTTGTTGGTGTGTTAAAACAAGAAGCTTTAACAGTCAGCAGTGTTGTGGAGTCCACATTAGACTGCAAATTGCACCATACTTGTCGTCTGTGGTTTTATTCAACATATATTTTGCTGTTCTCTGTCATCGTCAAGTCACTCAAAAGACAGTACAGATTGGGGATGCCAACTGTCCATCAACCTGAACTTGGCAGGTTAGAGGGGTACTCAATAATGCATCTGTTTAAAAAGCATGTGGACCTCTCTGTATTATCTGTCGTTTTTCCTAATATGAAATATAAAAAAGAGGTATATGTACTGTATGTATGAAAAAATGAAACACTGATAGAATATGGCTACATTTTACAATCTCTAGTCCAATTGCCAAATGCTTCAGCCTGTCACAGCTTGCTGTGGGGGCTGCGGTCTGTTCCTCAGCCTCCTCCATGCAGAAATGTGGATTTTCTGGCATCAGTAATACGCAAAGATGGTGGCAAATAGTAAATCCAAATTGAGGCTTTAATGATTTCTTCAGAATCTTAATGAATGTTTTCCTACAGCTTGTATTTCTGACAGGTGGTGAATATTGTGTTGTATAGTAACTAAGTAGATTTACTCAAGTACTGTACTTGAGCATTTTGAGGGAATTGTATTTTACTTGAGTATTTACATGTTTTGCTACGTTGTACTTCTACCCCACAACAATTCACAGGTACATTGTGTAGTTTTACTCCACTACATTTATTTAGAACCTTTAGTTACTTGCAGATTTTGAGTAACGATTTGAATAACATTGAACAGATAAATGAAGACTTTAGTTACACCTGGAGTAAGATAAAAGTAATTAAAATTAGCTGCACCTTTATCAGCTGTGATAACACTCTTACATAGTGAGTACTTTTTACTTTTGGTACTTTAAGTATATTTTGATGCTAATACTTTTGTACTGTTTTCCTACAGCTTGTATTTGTCACAGGTAGTGATTATTGTAGGTGCCTGGAGGCGTTTCCTAGGGAGAAGGTGGTCATGCATCCTGCAGCCCTGGCTCTTTCTATATGTCAACCCAGGTAATTAAAGATATTTACAGTCATACTACTGTACATATCATATTGCCCGTTCAGATATCGATTCAAGCTTTGTTGTCCTGCTGACCACACACATTTATACCTGCGTGTATTTACTACACAAAGTATACAGCCACGCATATAGGCAGTAAAAACGCTAGTATCTAACTTTACCTGCTTCCCACATACATTAAGCTAACGGTAAGTTAGCTACTAGCTTAACGTTAGCTTACCGATTCCCTGCTAGCAAAGATGAGTCGGGACTTTCTGCTTACAGTAGAGGAAAATGGATGTCAGGTTTATGAAATAATTACTAAAGACACACAGATACGGTTACGTTTGAAAGTACCCATGTCTCCGGCGTCCATGCCGTAGCTAACTCCGACGACCGTGTCCCCATCATCGGATGCTGCGTCCCCGGACAGCGGGCTCCCGTCCCCGGCCTCCGACAGCCCGACCGCTCCCTCTGCTTCCATTCAGCCTCCCGGAGGAAAAACAGGCAAGCCCTCCGATTGAAAGACCCACAGCGACGGTGCGAGAGCAAAGAGGGGATGTGTTATTGGATAAGTAGCTGTAATCAACCTTAGGAATATGTGATAGTAATCCGCGACGGTTCCTTCATGTGTGCGGTGTTTTCCTCACGAACAGCGTCCGCTCCTCTCCGCTCACCGCACTTGCTGCTGATGGTGCTGACTGTTGCCTGGCTCCGTGCTGCCGGACACTGTGGCTCCCTCTGCAGAAAGTTATGGAGAACTGCAGCCAGGAGCTTCAGTTTGTCTGCTTCTGAATCACATGCAGAGGTCAGCTTTAAAGGTCCCCTATTATACAATTTTTCATCAATATATTGCAGGTCTCAGATATATACAAAACATGCCACTCCCATCGCCCCTCTGCCAGATATTTGGTTAAAAAAACCACAATGGTGCTCTAGGAGGAGATTCAGGTGATAAGGTGGGGGGGGGGGGTTATCTTGGTTGGTTATTGGCTAATGGTTAAAACAAGCCAAAACATTGCTATGACATCATAAAGTGGTCAAAATCTGATCAGCTCATTTTCAGACAGGTTTTTATATAAATGGATCAGGACAAAAAGAGAGTGAATCTTTTTTCCTGACACTTTCAGAATCTCTTAATGCAGAGGGGACACATGTTGATGTATAAAAAACATGAAAAAGTGGATTTTGCATAATAGGTGACCTTTAACTGACAGGGTGGTTGCATGGGGAAACACCTGGATCATTGACTACCATAGTTTTGGAGATACAATTGACTTTAAATTATATGTAAAGAGCTAGTCACAGAATGTTTTTAATTAGAGACTCAAGGGCTTTGGGGTGAATCAAAATCTTACTTTGGTTAACTAAACTAAGCCAATATTGTTAACACAACAGGAAAGATAGTAGGCTGCCAACAAAGACAATAGAGGACATCTTCATCACAGCTGTACACATTAAAGCCCCATCAAATTTGAGCTATAACACATATTCCTTCTACCCTTAATTGTAGTATTCCCCTCAGGCCAGTGCAACACGTTAAAATACCTAACCTCATCCTTGGTGTAATCTTTTTATAATACAAACAGGCAGTCTTCTTCAACCACTATTGTACAGTAAATGCACAAACTGTAATGAATCATTACTGTGCCTGTAATCTAAGGTAATGATTTGTCAATTAACAAAACTGTGACATTATTCATTTTTCAACCCAGAAGAAATAAATCTCAGTTTAATTTTAAGCTCCATTGCTCACCGATGAAAGGTTTCCTGACAAACTTTTTTCAGTATGACAATAATTGATTCTCTGTCCTTTTTTTTCACCATTTCCATTACACAGAATAAAAAACGATTTCTCAGGACAAAAAAAAACATCTATTCTACAAGCAAGCAAATATAATATGATACAACATAACTTGACAAATGCAAATGTTTTCCTGACAGAAAAAAATTATGGACAAAGATGTCATTAGGGCAACATTTTGTGCAATTTATTATGAAGACAATGCCACACATGAAGCTGTTAACAGAGGGTCCTTCCCCCTTCTCTCTCTAGAACCAAATGAAAGCAAGTCTGGTTTTCTTCCAAGCAGGTTTGCACGCCATTTTCATCAGGTCTGCTCTGTCCGCCATGCGGGTTTATGAACAGGCCGTCACTGGTCTGGGGGGAAACCCAAACTTTATCCACTGGTGCCAGAGAGAGCCAGAGAAAGGAGCTTATAGTTTCAGTAAGTGAGGCATCAATCATCCATTTACAAGTATTGAGGAAGATCCTTCTCCACCACCTGGAAAAAAGAAGAAGAGAAGGAGTTCAAATCTACTGTCCTAATGAAAGAAGAAGAAGATAAGAAGCACACATTGTATAAACGGCTATTTTAACATACACAGACACACATAGTTTATATGAAAGGCAAATTCATGTTAAATGCAAAATGGTCTACACCAGTCTATGGTCTACACTCCCTCTTGCCTTTTTTATACATTTAAAATCCTAGTTTTAACTTACTTATATTTTTTGCGACAAAATTGCAGAACCTTTTTTTTTCTATAAACAATGTCTAGATTGTTTCACATATTACCAGATAAGCTCTTTCCTGTGTCACTAGGCCCATGAAGGCAAATAATTACGCAGGCGTATTTAAAAGATTAAAACTAAAATAATATATAAATGGTGCTACAGTCAGGCTATATATACGATACTATCGGCAGTAGCGTGGCGTGGGGAAAAATTTAGGGGAAGCCCATTTTTTTGGGTTGGTTGGGGGGGGGGGGGGTGGTCAATAACGTAACCAGATGAGTGATTACAGCGCCCGGTATCATTTTACACACATTTGTATCACACAGATGCAGGACTTGCACACGCCTGTTATCTAACCGACAGGTCCGCACGCACTCTCCAGCGGAAACTCTCGTTTTATTAATTTAAGCATTTTCTTATTAATTTATGCAGACACACCCCCCCCCCAAATGCAATACCAGCCGCTCAATGCGCAGTGCAGATTCGGTAATGAATAAAAAAGAAGCATTCATTCACAAAGTAAATCAGGAGACCTTTAAAGTTTTATGTACACATCAAAGTATCAGTAGGCGTGTATGAAACACATGAATTCAAAAACAATTATTTACAGAAACATTTGCATGCGATAGTCCACCTTCTCTTCCCTTCCCTTTCTAACACACGGCAAGTGCAGCAACAGTCCTCGTCTCTGTAATTAGCTCAGTCCGTAGTCCAAAAGTAACTAAAAAATATAAACAATCTCATCTATTCAGGTGAAATCGCCAGCTGCCTCTGAAGGGAAGCCAGAGCCAGCTGGCTTCCCTTGGCATGGCCCTGACCAATCACAGGTTGGCAGGGGCATCACGTGGGCCTCATCTGATTGGTCAATCCCTCCATTTTTTTCACCAAGGGAAGCCTGATCCGACTGGCCTCCTCTCGCAACAGTGAATGCAATCTACTGTTTCACCATAACATCTAGAGGGGCGCTGTTTGTTTCACTCTTTGTAAAATACTCAATGAGAGTGGGGGAGAGACGGGCCGGCAGCAACACACAGCAAAGGAGAATTATCGAAACAAAACAAAGTGTTTTTATTTATTTATTTAAATTATAACTACAATCCGAAAAAACAGGGGAAGCCTGGCTTCCCTTGGCCTCCGGGAGAAAACGCCACTGACTATCGGTGGCAAATTAAGACAGGTGTACTTACACTTGGATCATTGAGGGGTCCATATCTCTTCATCACCTGACCCTCTCTGTTGATCAAGAACTAAAGAGAAAGAGAAAAAATATACAACTCAAAGACAAACATTTATAGAGACTTAAAATATTAAATACAATCATTATCTGTTTTACATTTATCAGTTCACAGATTTCTTCTGTTAAGTATTATCTACCCTATATAGTTAGGGCACCTGTTTAACGTTGATGTACATGACAGGAATATATGATTACATTTCAGCTATATCAACCATTGTAATGTCTATATATAAAATAACTGATATTTACCTTGGTGAAATTCCACTTGATACTGCTGCAAGAATGAAAACAAATCACATGTTAAAAAATAGACTATGATGATCAATAGTTGATTAATATGATCTGGTTTTAATTCAATCAGTTTGTAGATAAGTGTATCATGTCATCATCAATACTGTATACATGTTATAAAATCACTACTTACTTTCCCAGGAACCCTTTCCCATTGGGCTGACTTTTCAGCCACTTCCACAGAGGATGAGCAGTGTCCCCGTTCACATCGATCTTGCTGAACATGTCAAACTGAGCGTTGTAGGAACTGGCAAACTGCTTAATCTGAGTTTCATTTCCAGGCTCCTTCAAAGTAAAACAAGATGAGAGAAATAGACGTGTCAGCAAGAGTCAAAAGCCATACAGGTTAAAGTGCCCTACTAAACCAATGAAGAAAAAGCAAATGTTGGTTTAGTGTACTACAATGTGATGTCCCCTTCTGTTGAATAGGCCTTTTGCAAATATTATGGCTAGATTCCATCTTTTGCAATGTGACCTTTCTGTTTCCAGTTATGTGACATTTTCAGATCTCCAGCTTGTGTAATAATGCCTTTTCTAGCTTTGCACGTTAATAAAACTCTGATGTGTTTCGTACCTGGTTTCCAAACTGGTTGGAAGGGAAGGCGAGGATGCGTAAACCTCTCTCAGCGTACTGGACGTGCATTTCCGCAAACTGAGAGTAGTTTACTGGGGTTTTACCTCATTTAGAGGCAAAGTTGGTGATGATGACAACATCCCCCCTGAAAACACAAAGAAACAGATGCATAAGGATTTAGTGATGGTATGTTTATGGTATGCTTTAGTACATTTAGGGAAAATAAAAAGACATACCTGTATTTTTCTAGGGAAACCAGATTCCCATCAATATCTGTTGCTGAGAAGTCATAAATAGACGTGGCCCTCTGCCAGTCCTCTGTCGGAACAGACTGTGAGGAGGAAAAAAGTTGAGTTAAGGGAGCTTATTTTCAAAATGCACTTTTATGCTGCTTAAGGAATATCAAATAACAAAAAATATGACCCAGCAAATATATCACAGACATACGCATTTCCCCTTAAAATGTATTTGTGAAGACAGCAAAAAGAGACAAATCTCTTTTGTATGCAAATATTTAAATACTAATATCTTAAATAATAGAACATCCTACACAACATAAAAAAAGATTAAAAGAACACTTTCAATTATCAATTCAGTTGGAAATAATGTGCCATCTTCCAAAAGCAACATAATCCAGAGTTTCAGTCCTACTTTTTTCTTACCATAGCCTGCAGCAGGACAGAGAAAAGGACAGTGGACCCTAACAGGCGCATGACTGCCCTTCAGTAAGCTCCTCTGAAGGCAGAAAGCGATACAATCTGTAAAGCGCCTGAGTAATGTTCTCTACACCCTCACTGTCAGACCACAATCCGACCACTGAGGATGAGGACGCGATGCAGTGTCCTCAAGTCAAGGGAGCGGGTGATCATTAACAGAACTGATAAGCTCTGATTCTCCAATAGGTCCCTCTCTGCTGTTGGCTAAAACCTCTACGTCAGACAGACACATGTACTGCGGTCCACAGTCCACAACATTTGGTAACTTCATAAAGAAGGTTCTCAAAGTCCTCAGACTCATTAAGAGAGCCATGTGGGGTTGAGCCTCTTGTGGCGAGCATTAAGAGCAACAGTCTGAACATTACATAAACTACTTATGAGATTAATATTGAAATGAAAAACAGCTTTTTGCAGCAGTGAATAAGCACACATAACCCCTTAAATCTCATAAAAGTCACAAGGTTGAGCCCAACACACTTGTTTATTCTACCAATTTATCATAACAAAACAAGAGATTTTGTGTTTCAAAATAATCTGTTTTTTTTTTTTTTAAATACTCTGCTCTGTACCTGCCCATGGACTTTTCCAGAATATTTTTTCTGCAAAAGACAATCCGTAATAACCTGGAGAATGACCAGGCAAAACCTTACATAACAGGCTGAGTGGTTGAGCAACACACTTATCTGATTTTTTTAATCCAGCTGGTTACACAATATAAGCCCTATTCCATAAAAATCTTTACGGATAACTTACTGTATGATTCAAAATATACAACTAAAGAGCCAAAACTATAATTTTCATTGATTTATTTAATCAATGAAAATTAAATAAATAGATAGGCTTTGAAAGATAAATGAATTTGTATTTTAAACATCCTATTGTGAATTGGAATACACGAAAAGAGAGAATAGAGATATTACACATTTTATTTGTATGATAAGATTAAGCAGTCACAGCCAGGAGCCCCCTTCTGACATACTATTGGCATTGTTAACACACATTTATTGTAAACTTCTTTGCAAGATTGAACTGTATGAAGTACATTTACTCAAGTAGGCAACTGTCTTTAAATGTAACCTTGACATACTTGTACTTCACTTAAATACCTTAATTTTTAAACTACTTTATTATTCTACTCCACTTTTTATCCCTTATTTTCAGATAATTCCCTTCTTTGATTAATATTTTGTGGGACTTATTGTTTTAATGATGCTGGTAAAGTCAATTTGATTTTAATACTCATATACTAACATAACATTTCAGCTGTACCGAGCATCGACCTTGTGTTATGAAACCTTCCAATGACTGGTCATGTTGCTGCACTTCAGACTGATAGCCTATCAGCTGACCCCAGCTGCAGCCAGATGATGGGTTGTGCTGCTGCCGAACACATCCAATATTTTACGAATTACACTCAGTCATATGAACTGTTGAACTATTATTCTCACACTAAAAACCTTAATGAAGTAATATGTAGGTACATATGCTAGTTGCACTATGTAGAATCACGTTTATGAACTTAAAGGCTATGTTATGCAAAGCAACGAGGAGCTCAGATTATTGACGTTTTGGCTACAGGCAGTAACTTTACCAGATATACCACTCATTATATTGATTATATATAATTTGAATCAGGAGGACAGCGGTTGTTTCATGTGTCGATAATAGCCTGGCATCACTGTTACGCAGATAGGAAATCAGAGCAGCACGCGCACCATAGGCTACATACCAACAACCATTAAGGTTTACGTTACCGTTGTAGATAAAACAAAGTAAAGTACCATCGCCAGTAGTACTCCACTGCTCGCCACCGCTCCGAATGTCAAAATAATAAATAATGACCTCATCTTGGTTATCAGAGAGGCCACATTTATCTCAAAAGCTGCTCTCGTTGTTGATCCCTCCGCCCCGCAGTTTGTTATGAGACCGCACCGGAAACAGAAGACTGAAAACAAAACTACTGACAATTAATTTTTTTTATTATGATGACATTTTGTGTCGTTAAAATGATTATTATAGTATATTTATTATTGTACACATAATACAAATAACAAGTTTAATTTAGAAACGTAGTCTTTATGCTAAGCTCCACCCACATACTGCTACTCAGTTTACACGTCATCAGTTTGCGTCGGTTAGACTGTAACGTGCATAGCGTGTCGCATGTACACAGGAGCTAAAGGGATAAATTAACAAATATAAACAATTGTTTTTGATAAAATATCAAACAAGTTAAACTTTTGAGATACTATGGATGATGAAGAGGAAACATACAGGCTATGGAAGATCCGTAAAACCATCATGCAGGTGGGTTAGATTTCAATGTGTTTTTAGCTTCATGATTTAGCATGTAGCTTAGCTGCGGTGCTCTGTGATGTTAGAAACAACTGAGTTTTATTTGAATTTAGATATTTAGATCAGTGTCACTTCTCTAAATTCCTGAATAAGTTTGATTTGCTTTGCACATTTGGTTAGAATTGTGTTTCAAGAAGCACAATTCTGTCTGCCAAAGTGCCTTTAATCCGGTCAACAAATCTTAACTTTGTTTTAAGTAATAGTAAGTGTAAGTAGCTGGCCCACATATGTAATATGTTGTAGTTTCAGATTATGATGGTTACTTCACAACATAGTTCCCTCGCTAAACCAACAAACGACGCTGCATGAAAATACAATGGAAATACAGACGGTAGTAGAAGTATAGGAATATGACAGGAAATAAATAAATATCACATTTTACGAATAAAACAACCAGCCATTGATTCAGAGTTGCTGAAAGAAAACAAGGCTTTCCAGAGTGTCTGGAATTAGTCCGATTCATTATTGGGATCCTAAGTCTATTTATATGAAGAAGGAAGAGCCCATATCCATGATTTATATTAGCCAATCATGGGGGGATTTGAGCAGACCACTGAAGCAAGATAAACTTGAATTTGCTAGAAATAAAATAATCTGGTGTCCGTATTAGATAGAAAGTTTTGTTTTAAATGTAAAATGATGAACCCTTTTCCCAAAATGTCTGTATGTGATCACATGACCAGAACAAGTGGATGAATGTACTTTTGTGTGTTTTACACTTATAACAGGTTTGAGCTATTGGAAACATTTAAAATGTGGTCCATGTAGGAAACATTAGAACATTTTAAATCTCAATGTAATCCGGAGAACTACATGGACTAGAAATATTTTGCTCTTGAACATTATGATTTGTACCATACACTCAATGAATTGATGGTTTCATCTGTCCCCCCTCAGCTGTGCCATGACAGAGGCTACCTGGTGACTCAGGACGAGTTGGACCAGACGCTGGACGAGTTCAAGAGTCAGTTTGGAGACAAACCCAGCGAGGGTCGGCCCCGGCGCACAGACCTCACCGTGCTGGTGGCGCACAACGATGACCCCACCGACCAGATGTTCATTTTCTTTCCTGGTAGGTTAAGACTTATTATTAAATACTAGGGGGATAGAAGCCCTCTGTATACAAATACGAGACTAGTGTATAATCGATGGTTGTTCCTTTGAAACATTCAGCGTTGTGATATTATTAAGTTATATTTTTCTTCACTTTGTAGAGGAGCCAAAGGTTGGAATCAAGACGATTAAGATGTACTGTCAGAGGATGCAGGAGGAAAACATTACACGAGCCATCATTGTTGTTCAGATAGGCATGACACCATCAGCCAAACAGGTAAACACACACATTATATATTATTATATTAAACAACTGATGCAAAAATGTATTTGAAAAACAGAAAGATTGCAGAACCTCTCTTGTATTAATTCTGTGACTTTCTTCTCGTCCTTTCACTTTTTTTATTTTGATCTCTTTGTTAACATGTTGATTGAAATGTCTCCCTACAGTCTCTAGTTGACATGGCCCCCAAATACATTTTGGAACAGTTCCTTCAACAGGAGCTGCTCATTAACATCACAGAGCACGAGGTAAACAACAGACTGATGAATCCACTGAATTGCAATCCCTTTGACACCATATTTAAAACTCTAACAGACTATGCCTCTGATGTAGAATAGCATTTTACTTTCTGGATTCTTTTCTGTTTTTCAGCTTGTTCCAGAGCACATCGTTATGCTAAAAGAGGAAGTGGTTGAACTTCTGCTAAGATAGTATCCTTTCACTGCACTGCACTGTTGAGATTTGCCGGCAGAAAATGCAATTTGACTTTGGAGTACTTACTATTCATAACAATTGTATAAAATGGCAGTTCATTTACCTAAAGAAAGATACTTTGTTTGGTTTGTTTTACTTCCTTAACATTTTGTCTCAGTAAACTAAAGGAAAGTCAGTTGCCGAGGATCCAGGCTGGAGACCCCGTGGCTCGCTACTTTGGCTTGAAGAGAGGACAGGTAACTCATCCAGAGGCCCTTTTACTTAAATGCATAACATTATCAGTATTATGTGACTACATGGTGCTTTATATTTGATCTTGGGTTGGTTCTTTGGTAAAATGATTTTCAGTAAAGGAGAGTGATAACACAAATTGATTTTTATAACCACTACTTGTTACTAGACATGTTGTGTGAAAGACATTTAAATGATCAGTTCGTTTTTCTACGAGGTTGGTCCTATTATACATTTCCTCCAGCATTGTTGCTTGTTTCCAAATCGCATCATTTACCTGTGCAAATAGATTTGTAATACTACTGATAACGGTGGCCAAAACTATAGACTGGCACCAGGACAATAATTCTGCTCCAGGCTAACATTCTGCTTTTCTTTCTACGACTTTTCCAGGTAGTAAAGATCATCAGACCCAGTGAAACAGCTGGGAGGTACATCACATACAGACTGGTGCAGTGACAGACAGGTGAGTGTTATGGACAAATATGCAGCTTGTTGAAAGGTCGAGACAGCCACACTGACAAAATCCTTTTGACAGCGCATATATACTCATGCAGAGGCTGAATTTTTGAGTTGTACTTTATTCCACACATACGTAATTTGTTTTTATAGTATTTACATTTTACTTTGATGGAAGTTGGGACTATGGGAGTTAAGGGATGTCACCTCACTGAGGTATCATACATCCCAGCTCAGACAAAAAAAAACAGGACGTAGAGACGTCAGCCGTACAAGGTCTGTTCATGCTCACTCAGTCGTAGGTAGTCTTTCATGATTTGCGTGTGTGAATCACAAGGACGTAGCTGCTTTGAATAAAATGTAAAGTACTCTACATGTTTTTTTTTTTTCAGTTATTCTCCTGTATAAACATTTGAGGACCAGTGAAGGAAACCTGCGATGTTACATCTTTCATTACGCATCCGTGGACGATCCTTCTACTTTTGAATTGTTTAAATTGTTTTCTTATATTTTCTGACTTTGTAAAATAAAGTATTCCAAAAAAGAAAATGTTATAGTCGACATCAATCCCTTTGTGCACCTAAAAGTTATAAACTTAACACACCTATTCTATCTACTTTATGCTGTAATGATTTGAGAAGCCTACCTTCTTTTTACTTTTGAAAGCCATGCAGTAGCCGCTGTATCCTGAAGCTTTTAGAACAGTCTTTGTGCTTCACATGCTGCAGTTTAAACCTCCACCCACTGTAATAAACTCCTCACTGCCCTCCCCACTAGCAGGGAAGTGAACACAGCTGAAGTAGAACAGTCAGAGGCAGTCTGCCGTCATTCAGTTCCTGCTCACTGTTTTTTTACCGGTTCCTTATTTGTCTAAACACAAACAAGACATCAAAGCAAGGTTCTAAATGAAATGACAAAACACAAAAACCAGTGTAAAATAAAATGTTTATTAAAATAGACCAAAACATTCAAAACAAGGCAATACAGGCGACATTTATAAAAAAGACTTCTACATTTATTTTTAAAATGTTAGTGCTGAAATAAAACCAGCAGCACTTTTAAGATCATTCGCTTTGAATTCCTGCACATTGTGATGTTACTTACTACCTGCCTTTCCTCAAGCACGCAAGAGCAATGAGTAAAATGCTTTAAAAATACAAACTGGTGCAAAAATAGTTTCTTAAATCATCTTGAGTCGAAACCTCTGGAGTAAGCGTGCAGACATTTTGCTGCCAGGATAGATCAACACACACGTACAAACTTTAACAAATAGAAACCCAATCACTCCTGTAAAGACTTCACATACACACACACGAGGACTTTAGTAAAGATATCAGACAAACTCGGGCCCGCTGTCCCTGTTCCTGGTCAGGGGTAATTTCGTTCCAGACAAACGTGACAGTGGATGCCCCGACAAGCTAAGAACGGGGGAGCAGGGGTAGTTGTTGTTGGACTGGTTCACGTTGAGCTCGGCCAGAGAGACGCTCAGTTCCTCCTCTGTCGCTGTGTCTTCATCTGGGGGTCCGCTGACTGGCAGGGCAGGAGGCTCCACTTTGTCGGGGGTTTCTTCCTGGTCCTGGTCTGGTTCTGGTTCTGGTTCCGGGTCGGTCAGGGTTGCAGACTGGCTCGACAGGTCCAGGCTGTCCCTGTAGCTCAGCGGCTCGTCGTCCATGCTCACCTCGCTCTCCTGCTTCACCAGGCTGCGGGGGGGTGCGGCCCTCTGACCGCTGTCGTCCTGCTCTGAGTCGGAGTCAGGGAGCTGCTCACTGGACCCCAGAGACCCTAAAGAACTTCCTGAATGGAGATAAAGAGGCCGGTGGTACCACAGGGGTAAAAAAAAAGAAACGGATCATAAATAAACATTAATGCAGAAACTTTGAGATGACATTTTTCAAATACATATGTATTCCGTTCATTTAAATGACCATGAAGATGCAAGAACATGACTTGATGTATACTCATTCAGGGGAATTCTGTTCATTTACAACCGTAATATGCAATTATGCTTGTATGGCGTTTTACAATACGTACCACATCCCTCCTCAAACTTCTCAGATTCTGGTTTATTTGGCTCCTCTCCATCAGCGGCGCTCTCAATCTTTTCATCTGCAGTACCGACCTAAAGCAGAGATTGTTATCAAGTCAGTCAACCTGAAGTGTTATTTTTTTTCTATAATGGACCATAAATCAAACGACCAAAGCAGGAGGGTGAGCTGGATTCAAATGATTTGCAGCTGTAGGTCATAACTCTGGATGAGCTGATATTTTACTGCTTCTGTTATTTACCTTTCCACAGAAAGAGGGTTGGACATTATTAGCAGCCTCTCATTAAAGGGCCCATGTCATGCTTTTCCGGTTATTACCCGTCCCCTTGTGTGTTATGAAGGTTTTTATGCATGTAAATGGTGTGTAGAGTCAAAACCCTCAAAGTACACCCTGTAGCAAGTAAAACTCTAACACAGAAAATACCTCCCCAAAACGCCTCGTTGGAGATACGTCCATTTGATTCTTCCATTTCGTTCCGGGTACGGCATGATGTCAAGCCGTACCCGGAACGAAATGGACCAATCCGTGGAGCCGTTACGTTACGTCCGCAGAGCCGTTACGTTAAGCCCCCGCTGATTGGTCCAAATTGACCAATCCACTGACTTTCTCACACACATCTGTGTGCAGGGAGCAGGCAGCTCAGCTGATTTCTCCTCCCTGGCTGCAGGCTGATAACAGACAGTTGGGATCGCAGCGAAATTCTCTCTGCAGACCCATTCTCTCTGCAGACTCATTCTCACAGCGTTTATCAACCTTTTTCTTACTCAATATCAAGCCACACTTATTGTTTTTACTTCGGCTGTGACTTTGTGTGTGCTCAGGATGAGTTTGGCTGTGTTTCGCTATGTATCCTAAACTAGGAAACCACACCTCCACGGAGCTCAGCGCGATTCACAACGTCCCGACCAATCAGAGCACACTGTGCTCACAGGGAGGGTGGGGGCTGGAGCTTTTGGAGCTACAACGAGCCATTAAAGGCAGAGAGTGAAATTCAGTGAATACACGTAGTTTACAGAGATGCTGTATGAGAAACCAATGTGAGTTTGGAAAATTGCACAATATAAATCTATTCTAGTAGACCTCAACAATGGAATTATGATCAGTGGAAATGGCCATGACATGGGCCCTTTAAGACAACCTTTTGATATTTTCACGGGGTGCCAATTTACATTTGCCTAGTGACCACAGAGGGTCTAATATATGTACGCACCAAAACTTCTCTTCCACTTCTTATGAAAAAGTAATCATCTTAGTATACAAAGTTATGTTAAATAGCAAAGTCACACACTATAAATATATTTAAATAAGTGATTTCAAGTTTTCAATTCTAAATATATTAAGAGTAAATAGTCATGCTAGCTGCTGTAGGAGGCTATTCTTTTTCTTCAGGTGGAAGCCCTCATATATCAGACTGAGAAATAATGTATTAATCCCCGGGAGGAACTTGGATTTTGTAACAGTAGCTCCATATTGGATGATACAAATATTTATATAAACATACACAAGTTAAATCAGTAAACATTTTACCAGAATATATAACCAAATATGAGAAAATATGTATATTACAGTAAATAAAGTAGTGTTATAATACATTTTTTATAAATGCTGAAAACCAGATAATTGCTTTAAAATGTAGTGTCATACAGTAATAGTACTTTGTACAGTTGAATAAATATAATTACAGCAACCTGGTTTGGATGAACTGAATGATAAGTTGTTGCCCGTGGCGTCATAAATCTACAGCAACATGAAACAGGAAGTCACACTCGGTACCTTATCAGAGGGATGAATATCCTCCTGTCCCACCTGCTGGGCAGAGGAGGAATCTGAGCGGATGTTTTTGTGTGTCTGAGAGGTTTTGGACTGGAAGATGGATGAATAGAAGACGATGAGACACTCAATGATGCGAGCCTGGTGGGGGTAATCGACCAGAGAGGAGAGGGAGATGGTGGCTCCGGTGGGACGGGGGCGCATCAGGGAGGGGCCGAACACAATACCCAGGTTACTGGGACTCATCTTGTTGTCCTCCTCCAGCTCTGCAATCCTGGAGGGAGGAAGATAGAAGAATGATCAAGACAAGCTATGTAGAGTTTGGAGCCGTTTTGTAAGAATTGCCCCTTAAAGTTAATACAAGATCCGGATAAAGTTTAAAGTCATTCATAAAGCATTTAGCTATTAAAAGAACTCCTAAGGTGATGAACTGAAGGGAGCAAGACTTGAAGAGTCTTAACAGTTTCTTAAGCAGAGAAGAAAACGGCAAAAAAACTGATATTTCTCAGTGTTGAATGACAGTGAGGTAATAAACACCACAGATGATATTTAAGCTACATGCCAGCAACCACTGCTATTTAAAGACTGAAAGGCAATCACAGATATTGTTAAAAGCTCTTATTTCATTTGTCCTATTAATATAAAATAGATTAAGTACTTAAATAAATGTTACGAGATAACTTTAGAGTATTTTTCAAAATGTTTGTAAATGGTGTCCTGATTGTGTCGTTTTTTTATTTTTTATAAAAGACTGACCTCCGGAGGTGGCGAATGATGTAGCGCAGCGTAGCGACGTTAGCTTTGGGCGGCTCCTTCAGAAGCTCCTTCAGCTTGTCCACCAGGACCAGGACCTCGGGGTCGCTGTTGGGGCCCAGGTCCACCAGCTCGGGCCCTTTTCCCACCGCCGGGTTGATGCTGTTCGACTCCACCTCCTCTCCCTCCGCTGTGTCAGCCTCTCCCTGCAGACTCTCCTTCGCCAAACCCATCAGACTGTTGTACAGGCGGAACAGCATGATGGGCTCTGGCAGCTGGGGGTGACGGATACAGGAAGACATTTTAGAGAGACTGAAAACACAACCTTTAATATATGTGATTGTATTAGTCTGTTGACAGTTCTTAATAATACTAAAACCCTGCCACTATGAAAGCTGCCATGGTTCCACATCTCACTATAGGCTCTTGTGTTCACTCCTGCATGTGTACCTGTCGGAGGTAAAGCTTGAGCACGTTGCTGATGTCATGCGGTGAACACTGGGACAGCTCCACCAGCTCCTTGCCGTTCTCAAAGGCCTGACACAGCTTCTCCACCCGAGTCTTCACCCCGTTCACCCTGTAGATGCCCTGCAAGGAGGAAGTAGACAGTTTAAAACACGTCAGTGGCAAAGACTTCCAGCGCTCAGTTTAATACAAACATTTTCACTGCCTCACCTTCATCTTGAGCGCCCGTCTCTCTATCTCAGAGATGCACTTGGTGATGATGAAGGGGATGCCGTCGCTAGCACAGCTGGCTACCTGAGAGAAGTCCCTGCCGAACAGCTGCAGACGGCCCTGCAGCTTCTTGTGACCGCACTGGATGGCCAGAGTCTCCAGACAGCGCTTGTGACACGCCAGGAAACACTGAAGACAGAGAAGAACATCTCAAGAACCTGGTGTGATTATCATTGGGAGTCTCTCTCTGCAGGTCTGATGTTAGCAGATGATTACATTATTAAATAAAAGGACTCACCTCCTCG